TAATTTGAAATCACTTTTTCTAATTTTTTTTGTTAGCTATTTATTTGTTACAAGAACCCCTAACCTTTAACTACCTTAAAATACCTTCAACTCTTAAGATCTTTTGTATCAGATAACCTAAGCGTTTGAGCTTAAATAAAAATTACCGCCTCATCAGCAAACAACTGTGGCAGTTTCTATTTTTATCCGATACAAGAATTCCAACATGCCTAAAAAGGTGACATTTCAATCCTTGAAAAAGTGCAGAAATAATAAATAACATTGTTATTCATAAATTTTTTTAAAATTCATTGATCCAAAAAAGCAAAAACAAAAATTTTTTAAATAAGCGATGTACCCAAAGTAACGAAACTCTAGACTAGCAAAGTTTTTACATTTTGCAAAACAGGACAGTTATAAGCAAATATTCGTTCATTGTATAGGTTTTTAAATGATAAAAAATGAAGACTATATATCATTTAAAAATGTTCAGACATTAAACTCTCAAAAAAGTAAGATACCATATATCAACTAAGATATCACAAAAAAATTAATAAATAACAATTAAAATAAATTTTTTTTGTGTGTTTTATTATAAGACAACCTTAAACAAATGTTCTTAACCCTAAAATAATCTTTACCCCAGTCGCCTTTAATGATTTCTTAGTACCAATGGATGATTGCAACTGTTCCAAAGAAATATACACAGAATTATCTTTTGATGAATTCGAAATCGCCTTCAAATCACTAAAAAAAAAAAAAACCTATCGGAGCTAATGGAATTAATGGTGACATAATTATCGAGTACTTTGATCATCTCAAAAATATTCTTTATAAAGTTTATAAATCATCTATCCACCAAGGAGTTTTTCCTGATCGTCTAAAAATTGCAAAAGTTATTCCAATTTTGAAAGAAGGAGACTGTTGCAATATCAGTAACTATCGCCCTATATCTATTCTTTCTACCTTTATATATATATATATAATTATATATATATATAATTATATATATATATAATTATATATATATATAATTATATATATATATAATTATATATATATATATATATATATATATATATATATATATATATATATATATATATATATATATATACAGGGCCGGCGCGAGTAGGTGTCACGTGGGGGGTGCTATTACAATTTGCCGACTAAAAATCATTGATAGGGAGTGTGATACCCCCACACACCCCTATCGCGTCGGCGATAGGGGTGTGTGGGGGGTGTCACACCCCTCAAATATATATATATATATATATATATATATATATATTTATTTATTTATAGTAAATGAATAAAAACAACTTTTGATGGAACTCTGAGTTTCTTGCCTTTCGGCAATCAGCCATTGTGTATTTCGTCACTTTAAACCGTTTAAAAATTACAAATTAAAATTACGGTGGAACGAGTTCTGACGTTACCAAACAAAACAAAACAAAACAAAAAGACGTCAACGGTTTTAGTCACCGGTATCAAATAAGGATAGTAAAAATTTTTTTGAATGCCGGCGCTTTGATATTATTTCATATCTTTTATTAAGTAAGTTTTCTTCTTTATATGATAACATGGGAAACTTCTCTCGGAGACAAAGATTACAAACTTTTGATGCTTGATTGTAGGGCTCACATTGTGCTATTATCTTCCATGTAATCACAGGATTTATATGTTTCGATTTTATCTCCCATATTTCTTTGGAAAGTTCAGTGTCATTGTTATATTTGGGTACATTAAAAGATTTAAGATGGTTGGCATTTCTTAATTTAAATGTGGTTTCACTTATACCGAAATAAACTTTATCTTTGCATTGAGGATCACCAGAACTTACAGTGGCTTGGTATACGATATTGCTAAAAAGGCATTGGTTGTTTAACGGACTAATATTTTTGTCTTTGCAATTACATTTTTTTGATGTTTTATTTTTATCGCTATGTAAAATTTTGCTATTATGTGCATTTATTAAAGACTTGACATTAGGCATGCAACTATAGCTAACTTTAATATAGTTTTGATTAAAAATTTTATGAAGCCTGTGTCCTACTGGAAAGTGTTGGTCAATTAAAGCTAAAAAGCGATTTCCAATTTTAGTTTCAACATTTTTGCTAAACGGGGGGTTGTACCATATAATTTTACTTTTGCAATGTCTTTTTTGATTTTTGTTTATTTGCGGTTGATAGGAGAGTTTTGAATTGTATCCTGATTTATGTAAAGCCTCTTCATACGGAAGAATTGAATTATTGAACACAGTTTCATTTACTGCCATATTCGATAATCTTAACTCAATAGTGCGAGGGATTTCTTTTATTATATTAGGTGGATAGTTTGACTCTGAATGAACATACATAAGTTGGTTATTAGATTTACAATACGGTTGATAAGAACTATCAACCAAGTTCAATGTTACATCAAGATAATTGACGATTTTAATATTACATTGGATGGAGATAAGTAGGTTGTTACTTTTAAAAATATGTGTAAAATGCTTTTTGATTTTTTCCATTTGCTGGCCGCTTTTGTTTTCAAAAATAGCAAGCCCGTCGTCACGATACAAGCCAAAATTATTTTTATCGTAATGTTGAGAGAACTGAAACAACATAAAAATACCAACTAGTTCACAAACGTCAGCTCCACCAAATGCTCCCATTGAGACATCAAATATTCCGCCTCTTTCCTTTATCAAAGCTTCGCCGTTATTAAAAATTAAAGATTTTCTTGCATGATATATTATTTTTTTATCGCCATTTTTTATAATAACATGTTGTTCGGCGAAACTGATTGCGTTAGTAAGAATGTTTTCACTAATAGATGGGTAAAAATCATTTATATCAAAAATTAGAAATTTGCAAAGGTATTTATTTTTGATTTTTTTAAACTAATCGATAACAAAATGGGTGATTAGCCATTGATTCAACTGTAGTTTATTTTTTAATTCGTGAATAATCTTGAATAAAATAACTTTAATTCTTCATACCTCGTTTTTCGAAGGGTTTAAAAGGCGAACTGAAGGGTTGTTAATAAAATTATCCCTATGGTCTTTTAATGTAAAAAAACAGCCGGACGATCCGTTTATCTCAATATTGTTATACACTTCATGCCGGGTTAAAAGGTTTTTTCCTTCCTTAATTATTTGATCTTTTAATTCTGGCATCGACTTTTTGTAGGTAGAAGTAATTGCGTTTGTTAACAGTTTGTTGTATTCATCTTTAGATAATTGATCTAAATTAGATGTTTTGTCTGCCTTTATTATTGTTTTATGCGACGTACGTATGGATTTTAAGTCTTTTTGCATATTATTTTGAAATTTGCAGTTTACGTTGCAAAATATTATTGATTTAACTAAGTTTATTAGGTCTTTTTTGAAATGCGTTTTTTGAAATGCGTTTTTTGAAAGAACGAATTTCATTTATTTGTGGTGGGCATTTTGATGATTTGATTCCGTAGTCTGTATAATTTGAATCATTTCTTGGGTAGTTATTTATGAAAAAGAACGCCTTCCATCTCATTTTTTTTACGAGCATTTCTGTTTTGTTTAGTAGTTTTAATTTATATTCTTTTTCAGATGGAATCGGTATATTTTTGATTGAATATTTCAAGTTTATTTTTTCCATTTTTGTTGACGACTTGAGAACTTGTAGGAGCAAATTTATACAAAATAGAAAATGTATTATTATTGTATAATAATAATAATACAAATACTCTTGTGCGTTTAAAAGTGCTCAATACTATTAAATAATAAAGCAATATTTATTATTAAATATATATATATATATATATATATATATATATATATATATATATATATATATATATATATATATATATATATATATATATATATATATATAATATATATATATATATATATATATATATCATATATATATATATATATATATATATATATATATATATATATATATATATATATATATATATATATATATATATATATATATATATATATATATATATGTATATATATATATATATATATATATATATCAGTGGCATATTTAGTATAGGGCGTGGGGGGGCGAGCTGCCCCCCATGCCCCCCTAGAAATCTAACGGCGCCCCCTAAAACAATTAAAAAATATATATATATAAGATTAAATTACTGAAGGCAACCCCGGTCGCCCCTATTTATTGACTTGGCCCCCCCGCGACGCTAAACCTCAATCCGCCACTGATATATATATATAAATATATATATATATATATATATATATATATATATATATATATATACATATATATATATATATATATATATATATATATATATATATATATATATATATATATATATATATATATATATATATATATATATATATATATATATATATATATATATAATTAACCTATAAACTTGTTTAAAAGTTGTTGGCGTCTGATAATTCGTTAATAGAGTTTCAAATGTTGTGATAAACTTTTATTTTATCTTAAGGGCGCATGATTTAAAAGTTTATCTCACTAACTTTTGTTTTATGTTTATTTTACCAGATAAGGGGTAATGACGCAGAAATATAACTTTTGTCCATCGTGAAATTTTTGACATCAGAACAAACATAAAAATGCTTTTAACCAAAGGTCTATTACTAACTGTAATTTATATGTTCATATTCATGCAAGACAACTTTCAATAGGACAAAACAAACTTTTTATTTAACTAGTTTACAAGTTTATGTCAAACATTTTAATGCGGTAAGACACGATATCTATGCGAATTGTTTCATTGACACTTTCACAGTTCGTTAATACATTGAAGTTGAAGAAAATCAACAAAGTTGGACTAACTTTGTTGATTTTTTCTTTAATGGTTTGATAGTTTAGCGGATCTTTTTTTTTTTTTTCTTTTGTTATTCTGCATTTTTATTTTAAAAAAAATCAATTATCTTGTTAAATAAAGTAATAGAAATTTATTAATACGTTTTGCGGAATTTAGTTCCTCCTATTAATATTTCATCGCGTCACAAACGAGGAAGTACAAACTTGATAAATAGGAAATGCGTTTAGGATGCAAGTATGTTTAGCACAAGCTCCTATCCTATAATCGAGTGACTTCTTCAAGTTTGCATAAAAGATGGTCTCATCAAACATACTTCTCTCAGTTTTTCTCTACTTTTGCGTTTACGCAAGATGCGGAACAATTCGAGTTCCTTCCAATAATGGCTACGGTAAGTTTATAGATTCCGTAACATTGGTTTGTTTATGTTAGTTAAGTAACTTTCTAAAGTGTCTGATGTGAATTTAACTAAAATTTGAAATATTTATCTAAACTCTTATTATTATTTTTTTTTTTTAACAAGTTTATTGGTTGTTTTCAATTAACACGAGTTTTAAAAACTTTTTTTTCAGAATTTAGTACGTTTAATCTATTTTTTTAAACTTATATATAAAGGCTATGGGTATAGTGGATATGGAGGATACAGTGGTGAATTAAATAACAAAGGCAATGGGTATGGCGGATATGGAGGTTACAGCGGTGGATTAAATAACAAACTCTATGGATATGGCAACAGCTATTACAATGATAAATCAATAAAAGATACAGAAGAAGATCCGTCTTATAATTCTTACAGTAAGACACCGAAATCTAATACTTGTTTGCTTAGTAACAATGAGAGAATTTAGTTTTTGTTTGAGATTTCATTCATAAATTGTTTTAATCAAAGTAAGTAAAAAGTAATAATTTTGCAGATAAAGGTTACGGATACGGCGGAAACAACGGAGGAAACAACGGAGGAATCATTGGAGGATACAACGGAAAATACAACGGAGGATACAACAAAGGCTACGGGTACGGAAACAGTTACTACAATGACGACTCAAAAAAATTGATAAATAAGGATTCAAGTTATAACTCATACAGTAAGACCTATTAAAAGTAATTATAAAAAGTTTATCACAATTATATCGTTGCAACAAACTTTGTTTTCAAACAGGTTTTTTGTAAAGCATTTTGTTTCTAAGCATTTTGTTGCACTTTATTTTTTTTGTCATTATTGTATTTATATTCAATTTGGAAAAACTTTCTTATTTAAATTGTTTTTAACTTTAAATTTTTTTTTAGACAAAGGCAATGCATACGGTGGTTACGGGGGATACAATGGAGGATCATATAACAAAGGATACGGATACGGAGGAAGTTCATACTACAAAGACCAATAATTATTTTTATTATAACGAGCTGTATTTACAAAATTATTCAAATGATTGATCTTTAAAAATTACATTTATTAAACACGTTGTTTATAAGAAACTCATTTTTAAAAATTTGTTTTACTACAAGATCAACATTTTTTGCGACCACTTATTTGTATATTTTAACGTTAAAAGATATACAGTTACCTTAAAAACGTTTTTAATTTTTTAAGATTTTTGTGTTTTAAGAAAACTAACGACGTATCGCAATATATATTATACTTTATAACAGTTTCTATATCTAATATAGTTAAATGCCATAAGACTTATAAAATAATAATATCAGTGTTTGCTAAAAAAAACAATATTAAATTAGTGTAAGAATTTCTTAAACAATATCAAATGCTTCAATACCATACCTGATTGAACTTTATTAAAATTTATTGTTTTAAAAGTATATTCTGCTATTTTATTTCATTAAAAATACAAATATTTTTTTTCTATTGAATCTATCACAGCATCATTTTAACAATACTGAGTATTATAATATAATTTAAAGGAATTTTCTCCTAAATTACGAATTTAATACAAGAAAAAAAAGGACTTTACACACTTTTTGGTATATTTTATGTCTACAACTAGTTTCATTTTCATTGTTTAAACATTTACTTAACCACTTGAAATATTTTCAAATATATATACTACATTTTGCCCACTTCTTAATAATAACTTTGTACTCTGAAACATTACTTTTTTTTTTTATAAAATCGTGTATATGAACACATTTGAACTTTGTATTACTATTAAGCCTACTTGATTTGTGATGAAAATGCCTTAGAGGTCTTCTAAGAGCCTTCTTACTCATATTATATATCATGAAACTATAATGCAGCTTTTTGTTAACTAAACAAAATTGTAATATATATATATATATATATATATATATATATATATATATATATATATATATATATATATATATATATATATATATTATATATATATAGGAGTACATTATTATTTTTTATGTGCAGAGTTAAAGTACTAAGTTATCAAGGTGTTTAAAATCAGAACAAGTCGACAAATATACATAATCACATTATTTAATCTTAAACTTAAACTTAACAATAGAATATTTGAACGAGTTTACACAAAGAATTGGTAACAAAGGGTTTGCTCAACAGTTTGTGAGTTTGATTTCAATATGTTTAACATGATTTAGAGAACAAAACCTGGACAATATATTTTAACGCCCAGCTTTTGAAACAGCAAAAAATTTACAATCACTTTATTAAAATGAATCTAAATCATTTGCTGTTACAAATTATGTCATCTTTTTTATTCAGCCTATAAATATTTTTAAACATTTTAGATTGGTTGCAGCCTAACAAAATTGTGAAAAAACAATATTGAATAATTCTAATGTTTTAAAATTTAATTTATGTTACAAAATTTAGTGAATAAAAATGTTTTATATTTATTAGTTTGCCATGATTTCTCTGATTGAATCATGACAAAATACTTATTCAGTTCTAACTGTTTATTAAATAAGCTTGGGTCTTTAAGGCTTGACCTTGGTGAATGCAGTAAAAAATATTTAAATAAGATCTTATGTGTAAAACACTTCAATGTGCCTTTTTTATATTTTTTTCTTTTTTAGGCCAACTCTCACATGTTGGCTTTCCGCCAACATGTGAGAGTTGCAAAATATGTTAAGGACTTAATTCAGAGGTATTTCTTAATTCTTTTGTATTTCTTCATTTATATTTTTATTTGTTTTATGTATATTCAGAACATTGCAGGCATTATGAATAAATGCAAAGATTTTGTTTATTATTATTTTAAATGAGTATACATATTGCATGTGAATATTTATATAACACATTAGCAAAATAATACAAATGGCTATAAAAATGATATCAATAGAACATTTTGAAGTATTTTTATTATAAAAGTTCATTTCTTAAAAATTAAAAAATGCAAATTTGAATTATGAAAATTGTCAAAATTTTTATAAAATTTTTGTATTTATAATACTATAAAGTATCCATGTCAAAAGTATTAAAAATATTATTAACAATATATAAATAAATAATTATAGGTAACTATGTATATATATATATATATATATATATATATATATATATATATATATATGTATATATATATATATATATATATATATATATATATATATATATATATATACATCATTTTTTGTTCAATAAAGGACCGCAAGTTTGACATCTAGTTTATATAATATATCATCTAGTTTATATTATATAGTTTGTTTTGGTATTGTCCATCAATTATTGATATTTAAAAAAAAACGGAGCCAGAGGTATGTGGTTTGTCATATGTTCAAATTAATCATATTTCTGAAAAGTCTCATGACTTTTAACAAAATCAGATGGTAAAAAACCATCTGATTTTGTCAAAAACAGAAAGTCTAGATCACAGGTGGAGTTTTAAAAAATAAGACTATACAGTTAATTTCTTTTGTATTCTGGTCTCTATGCACTGAAGATGCAAATTAAATTAGCAGAATCAATGCATTGGTTATACATTGATGCTATTAAATTGGTTTGGATGACTGGATTATTAAGGCTCTGGATTATTATGGTCCAACATTCATAACATACAATTTACATAACCTTGGTTGCTTCTTGATATGTCTGCCTTTTTATTTAAAAAAATATTTGCTTTTGGTAAGAAGATGCTACTTGCTCAAATGGTCAAGGGTTTAAGTGAAATATAAGTAGTTAATATAAACACCTAACAAAGTAATCATTAGTCTTAAAGAGAGCTATTTATAAAAACAATTTTTGATTCTTTGCTTAGTGAAAATGTACTATTTCAGTTTCTTTATTTACCATGCAATTCATGTTATAAAAAAATATATTGCCAAAATAACACTTGTAAAAAAATAACTTTCCAGAAATCTGAACTCAAAGATATTTTATATCTTTTGAGGGTAAAACTAGACATATTTTTTTTCCATTATTTCATGATTGTGTGTTTTAAATTAATTTTGTTTATTTATTCAATTAAAATTATTTTGGAGGCAATTTCATTAGTTTTGCATTTTACTGAGGTATTGTTTATTCTATTTCAGATAATGTTGCTAAACGATTTACAGTCGATAATCTTTCGAAAGCAGAAAAACTCAGGTTAGCATGAAATAGAAAGTTAGCGCAATTTCTGGTATTTGTGGTATTTCTATTTGTTTATTCCGAATGTTTTTTATTTAGTTCTTAAAAATGCTTTTAATTGGATTTGTTTGTAACTTTATGTTTCTTCATATATATTTGTCTTTTAGTGTCAAACAAAGAATACGCGAATTATTTGAGATTTGATTGAAATTTGCAAAGAAAGTAAAAATCAAACTAGTTTCATTCTAAGTTATTGTATATAATTTTAAAATTTTGGAATAGCAGTGATGCAATTTTTATTTATTTTTAGTCTTTTAATTTTCGTATTCAATTATTTGCCCGGACTAGTATAATAATCGTGTATGACCTAAATAAATAAGAAGAAATATAGCTTGACAGCGCAAAGTTATACAGTGCAAAATTGTCTTTTATTGTTTTTTGCAGTGTAGAAATAACATCAAAAATGATAGAAAAACGTTGGAGGGCGTTTTTCTTACAACGTTTCGCAACATTGTTAATATAACGTTTATATAATATAACCTATGTTTCATATATGCCATCATTCCAACGTGTAAAAAACGATAGAAAAGACGTTGGATCAACGTCATTTTAGCTAAAATATAACGTTAGCCTAACGTCCTTATAACGTCTTTTTTCTTCAAATTTATCGTTGCTCTAACGTCTTTCCGACGTCATTTAGCTAAAATGTAACGTTGTCACCACGTCATTTTACATCGTTGTAATAACGTTAGTAAAATGATGTTTTTTAGTTGTTTTATTTATAACATCATGCCAACGTCTTTCCAACGATACGGAAGACGTTAGAACAACGTTGTTGCGACATTTTTCTTATTGGGATCGTTTATAAGCTCTTCAATTCTTCTTCTAATCTCTTCATTATAAATAACGTGACGAGCGCCACCTCTAGAACCAGGAAGTGTTGAATTCGTTCAATCGTACCTTCTTAAAATTGATTGTATTGTGTTTCGATTAACTTCTATTAACGATGAAGCTTCAGATTGAGTTTTTCCTTGATCAACGACTAGATTTACAACAAGATCTCGCATGTTTTGGGAAACGGAATTTCGCGGCATGAAGATTCAGATTGAGTTTTTCGTGGCAATGAAGTTTCAGATTGAATTTTTCTTTGATCAACGGCCAATCTCAAAATAAATTTTCGCTTATTTTGGCAAACAGAATTTCGCTGCATGTTTTAATGAAAATCTAATATCCTCATGCGCTAAATATTTTAATAGGAAATCATGTTTGTTTTAATTATCATCATGCATGTTTTAATTGAACATCATGGTTGTTTTGCCAATACAGTATGTGTATAAAAAATATGTAAAAAAATATGGTTTTGCGTCCATTTAAAACAAACGTGACATCCATTCAAACTTAATAAAACATAAACTCCGTTAAATTAAAATAAATTAATATAATATTAATAAAAATAAATTTATATAATATTAGATAAATAAATATATAAAGAAGACCTTTTTAAAATAATATAGAATGTTGAGATTGCGCATGCGTTAAATGTTTTAAATGAAAATCACGATTGTTTTAATTGAAAATCACGATTGTTTAATTGATTGTCGCGGTGTTTCAAATGGTTGTCATGATTGTTTTAAATGGATGTAAAAACCGGTAAGCAAAAACTCATGATGGCAACAGAAAAACTTTCCGTTTTCTTTGTTTAAAAAATGCTAAAAGGCAATTGACTGACTTTATCCTTAAATTAATGATTATGCAAACGGTTCAACAACTTTGTGTTGAGAACACTTTGTGTTGTCTTTGTGTTTTGTGTTGTGTTGTGTTGTGTTACTTCAAAAAGACTTAAGTAGACCAAACTTTTTTAAATCTAATGGTTATATGCATTTTTTGACTCAATCGTCATGTTATATTTTACTGATTTTCACAACTTTTTTATTTATTTTTTTTAAAAAGCATTTGCCTCGCCGCCGGTGAAGCCTTGCCACACCACCTCACACGCCTCACCCCACCTCACATCACTGTTATTAAGTTGCTCTATGGAAACTTAATAGTCTCAAAACATCGTAAATACAGAATAAAAGAAAAAATAACTGATGGTAAGTGTCAGAAGGGATTGAAAAGCAGTGGCAAATTAAGTATAATGTGTCGTAAGGGAGGGAATACTGCTTTTCCACGAGCCCCCTAAAACAAGCAATTTTGCGTTTACATAATTTTGTAGTTTAAAAACCCTGAGTTAATTTAAACCAAAAAGTGACAACCAGGTAACAATTTTATTTATTGTTGCACAAATGTTTTTGTGATTACCCCACTGTGTATTCAAAAAAAACCCACGTACTAACACGTTACTAAGGGTAACAAAGAACATGAAAAGTTTTGTTTTTGCTCTAAATTTTGATTTTATAAAATTTATAAAAATTTATTGAAAGCTTGTGGCTTATTAGTTAGACTAAATGAAAAACATGTGTTTGTTGAATCAAATTATACAAGTTTTATTCAGTATTATACTTGTCTATCAAATTGATTTTTATAAAAATACATACCACAATTGTTAGCTAACCACTAAATAATAGTTAGACAAATTCGGTCAGCTAAGCAAAATTATTTAATAAATGAATCATGCTTAAATTATATAATATTTTTAGTGACTTAGTTTAATTGATTCAATAGAAAAAAAATATTTGCATTTTTACTAAAATAAAATAGCAGAGTTTACTTTAAAAATAATTTTTTTTTTTTTTTAAAGTTCAATCAGGTATGGTATTGAAGCACTTGATATTGTTTAAGAAATTCTTACACTAATTTAATATTGTTTTTTTTAGCAAACACTGATATTATTATTTTATAAGTCTTATGGCATTTAACTATATTAGATATAGAAACTGTTATAAAGTATAATATATATTGCGATACGTCGTTAGTTTTCTTAAAACACAAAAATCTTAAAAAATTAAAAACGTTTTTAAGGTAACTGTATATCTTTTAACGTTAAAATATACAAATAAGTGGTCGCAAAAAATGTTGACCTTGTAGTAAAACAAATTTTTAAAAATGAGTTTCTTATAAACAACGTGTTTAATAAATGTAATTTTTAAAGATCAATCATTTGAATAATTTTGTAAATACAGCTCGTTATAATAAAAATAATTATTGGTCTTTGTAGTATGAACTTCCTCCGTATCCGTATCCTTTGTTATATGATCCTCCATTGTATCCCCCGTAACCACCGTATGCATTGCCTTTGTCTAAAAAAAAATTTAAAGTTAAAAACAATTTAAATAAGAAAGTTTTTCCAAATTGAATATAAATACAATAATGACAAAAAAAATAAAGTGCAACAAAATGCTTAGAAACAAAATGCTTTACAAAAAACCTGTTTGAAAACAAAGTTTGTTGCAACGATATAATTGTGATAAACTTTTTATAATTACTTTTAATAGGTCTTACTGTATGAGTTATAACTTGAATCCTTATTTATCAATTTTTTTGAGTCGTCATTGTAGTAACTGTTTCCGTACCCGTAGCCTTTGTTGTATCCTCCGTTGTATTTTCCGTTGTATCCTCCAATGATTCCTCCGTTGTTTCCTCCGTTGTTTCCGCCGTATCCGTAACCTTTATCTGCAAAATTATTACTTTTTACTTACTTTGATTAAAACAATTTATGAATGAAATCTCAAACAAAAACTAAATTCTCTCATTGTTACTAAGCAAACAAGTATTAGATTTCGGTGTCTTACTGTAAGAATTATAAGACGGATCTTCTTCTGTATCTTTTATTGATTTATCATTGTAATAGCTGTTGCCATATCCATAGAGTTTGTTATTTAATCCACCGCTGTAACCTCCATATCCGCCATACCCATTGCCTTTGTTATTTAATTCACCACTGTATCCTCCATATCCACTATACCCATAGCCTTTATATATAAGTTTAAAAAAATAGATTAAACGTACTAAATTCTGAAAAAAAAGTTTTTAAAACTCGTGTTAATTGAAAACAACCAATAAACTTGTTAAAAAAAAAAATAATAATAAGAGTTTAGATAAATATTTCAAATTTTAGTTAAATTCACATCAGACACTTTAGAAAGTTACTTAACTAACATAAACAAACCAATGTTACGGAATCTATAAACTTACCGTAGCCATTATTGGAAGGAACTCGAATTGTTCCGCATCTTGCGTAAACGCAAAAGTAGAGAAAAACTGAGAGAAGTATGTTTGATGAGACCATCTTTTATGCAAACTTGAAGAAGTCACTCGATTATAGGATAGGAGCTTGTGCTAAACATACTTGCATCCTAAACGCATTTCCTATTTATCAAGTTTGTACTTCCTCGTTTGTGACGCGATGAAATATTAATAGGAGGAACTAAATTCCGCAAAACGTATTAATAAATTTCTATTACTTTATTTAACCAGATAATTTTTATGACTTACAATACGATCAAACGCGATTACATAGGAAAAGACAAAAATGCAGAATAACAAGCAAACAAAAAAGAACTGATAGTCAGCCATTATTAGTCAGCCATTATTTTAATTAAAGTAACCAAGAAAGTAACAAAGTTTATTTTTTATGTTTTGATAGTTTATAAACTATCAAAACATTAAGAATTAACATTATTGAATTTTCTTCAACTTAACTTCAAATACAACTTATCTGTGAAAATGCTATTATAATAATTCGAATAGACCTCGCGTCTCTTCGAATTATTTTAAGAAATTATATTCGAATTATTAAAAAATTATAAAGCAGATTTATAATTTTTTAATTTTGACTTGGTTAACTTCATAAAATGATCTATTAAAAAAGTTCTTTAAGATCGTTCTGATGTCAAAAATTTCACAGTAAACTAAACTAAAATTTCGGCGTCATTACCTTTCATCTGGTGAAATAAACTTAAAATAGAAATTAGTGAAATACACTTTTTAAAAAAGCGCACTTACTTAAGACTAAACGAAATCTTGTAACCGGATTTGAAACTGTATTATCGAATTAATAAACGCTCACAAAAATAAACATGTTTTTTGGTTGATTATGATTAGGGATGTACCGAAGCTAAGATTTTGCCGAAGCCGAAGCTTTGGCCGGAGTCACTCTGCCGAAGCCAAAGCTTCGGTCGGAGCCGAAGCTTTTACACTTACCTAGATAAATTTGCTATCTTGCAGATCTGGCTATTTAGTGATAATACTATTTGCTGAAAAACTATTTTTAACATTTTACTACAGCTATTATATGTACTGCATATTTTAAAATATATGTACTGCAATTAAAAGTATTTTAGCG